TGTAGGGTTCTTGGTTCACAAGTTGATCATTTCTTTGTAAATTAACTTGTATAGTTGCTCTGAAGTTGCCCTAGGACGTATTTAACTGTTGGAACACACTTATTTATGTGTACTGGCAGTTGGTGTATACTTAAGTATTTGTTTACAGGTGTAAATTTGGGAACGTTCGAATTACAGGGGAAACTCTGCCGAATTTTCGGTAGAAGTCAACCTGAAAGGAAGTTAAGTTTTTAACAAGCAGGGTAACAGGGTCATTTGTGCTCGGCACTCGCCAGCTGTCGATCACATACAGGGTTTGGCTCGGATTCCAAAGTGGAATTTGGGTCGGGTCCTGTCACAGAACATTATATAATATCAAAAAAATGTCCATAATATAGAGCTCACGAAATTTAATTAAATCAATCTTTGTAAAAGGCCCCCCAAGAAACCCCTACCTTATTTCCAAAGTTAACTCCAAGTTAAGAAAACACACAAGCTACGACCTCTGACTCCTCCTGAGAAATTGATCACCACTTGCTTTCTCTTGTTTTCTTTCTTCTTTTCTCTCTTTCTCTCTCTCTCTCTCTCTCTATTTTTTTTCTTCTCTTTGCATGTACTACTATGCCATGTCCTGTGTTTTCAATAATCAAAGGAAATGACCCCTATTTATACTACAAAAGAGGCGGCAACTAAATGGTTTCCTATTGGTTGGGGTTGCAGAGCTTATAAATTTGGATAACTATTCATTGCAATTGGCGGCAAGACAAAGGATAATGATTCAAATACTTACTAGCCGAGTAAATTTTAGATAACTCTTAAGTCTATTGACCAAGTATTTGTTGCCATCTACAAGGAGAAATAGCATCAGGTGTTTTCATGCTATGCCATAGATTGACAACAAACCAAGTCTAAACTACCTAGCTAGTAAGTGGATGTGTCTCAAGCTAACTCTTTTGGCTTTATCAAAATATATATAGGTTATAAACTAAATATGCAACATTTAATTTCCCAATATATATTAAAAAATACAGGATTTCACAATCTACCCTTCTTAAAAGAAATTTCGTCCTCGAAATTTACTAACACTTAATTAAGAAAATCTACTCTTAAAGATCTATGTCATGTTGCCTACACTTAATAATAAAAATAAGTGTGCCCCTAAAAAGCCATCTCATTAACTTACTTCACCATTTCAAACTTATTTTGAAGTAATACTATACCACAGTTCCCAAGGGTATCTAATCCCTAAAGCTCTGATACCATTCTGTCACGCCCCGGACCCGGGGGTCGGTGGAAATCCCGCGCCCGGTGCGTGAGTAAAGAAAATAAAAACTAAAATAAAATAAACAGAAAGCCGAAATAGGGTTTAAAATAAACTTCTCTTATAAAAATAAATCCAAAAATCTTAAAACTTTACAATAAATAAACAAAACTCTACACAATAATCTAATTCAGCCTCAACTGGTTTAGTCCTTTTCTTGCCCACTAATTCATCTGAAAAATTAAACAGGGTGAGGGGTGAGCAACCACAGCTCAGTAGGGACATGAGACCTTATCACAGTAGATTGATATAACTAAATTAAGCGACATACAATCACACAACAAAATATCACATTAATAATAATAATAATCATAATAATAATCATAATCATAATAATAAAAGGTTGTAGCTTATGAATAGCACATACTTGAAATTACACCTCCAAAACCCCAATTTTTGTATCTTCTCCTTAACAATCCTAACCCCAATCCCCCCAAAACCTCAACCACCATGTCCTGCCTTGCTGCCACTGCTGTCGACGCCCAAGGGTGTTGGCTGTCGTCCATCCCCAAACCCGGCCGCCCCTTCTACAATTATACCACCGATTTCCTAATCTACTGTGCACACGGGCTCACCTGGACTTGGTCCCTACAATGGTTAAACTCAACTACACAAAAGATCCTTATCCATTACCCTCTTTTCCATCACTATTTTCTCAATCCAACAATTCTAACGATGATATAATTATGCCTTCCATGTATATCTCACAACAATGTAACATTTAAACATCACCAATTTACATATAATCATATCATGCATAATATAGTGCTCACGAAATTTAATTAAATCAATCTTCGGTAAAGGTCACCAAGAAACCCCTACCTTGTTTCTGAAGCCAACTCCAAGTTAAGAAAACACACAAGCTACGACCTCTGACTCCTCCTGAGAAATTGATCACCACTTGCTTTCTCTTGTTTTCTTTCTTCTTTTCTCTCTTTCTCTCTCTCTCTCTCTCTCTATTTTTTTTCTTCTCTTTGCATGTACTACTATGCCATGTCCTGTGTTTTCAATAATCAAAGGAAATGACCCCTATTTATACTACAAAAGAGGCGGCAACTAAATGGTTTCCTATTGGTTGGGGTTGCAGAGCTTATAAATTTGGATAACTATTCATTGCAATTGGCGGCAAGACAAAGGATAATGATTCAAATACTTACTAGCCAAGTAAATTTTAGATAACTCTTAAATCTATTGACCAAGCATTTGTTGCCATCTACAAGGAGAAATAGCATCAGGTGTTTTCATGCTATGCCATAGATTGACAACAAACCAAGTCTAAACTACCTAGCTAGTAAGTGGACGTGTCTCAAGCTAACTCTTTTGGCTTTATCAAAATATATATAGGTTATAAACTAAATATGTAACATTTAATTTCCCAATATATATATTAAAAAATACAGGATTTCACATACTTGGTTGGTGACAACCATCGCCAACCTAAACTTATGTGCTAAACCTTTCAATGTCCCAGATATGTTGAAGAACATTTCAAACCGCCTTTTCAAATCTGCCGTTGTTTGATACTGTGATCGGAATAATGCAGCAATGGAATCAATGACAATGAGTTTCACAGGTAGGCGGGTGTGATCAATGGCAATAAATGCTTCTATGTCTCCAAGGACATGGATGAGTTGTTGAGCATCATGAACGCCATGAACATATATGTCTTCCAATGGCTCCAACCTTATTAAGTTGGGGTATGATGGATGATAAAGGTTGCCTAGTTGTTGCAATCGAAGAAATGGGAATTTTGTGAATATGTAGACGGAGGAGCCCCCTAGTCCGCCATGTGAGGGTGGAAGTTGAGCTTGTACCGTAAGTTGGAGACAAAGCTGCGTCTTCCTAAAACCACTCTCCCATACCAATTCTGTTATGGAGTTGCAGGGTATCCCACCCCCCAAGCAGTCATCTAGTATTGGGCATCCAATGGATAATTTAGGGGTTGAAAGAGGAAGGAGCATGAGGTTTTGGGGTGTCATGTTTCTGTAATTTTGGGGGGATGTGATGGTGCTACAAGGCATGCATTATATAGAGTTCATTTTGAAGGTCTGTAATGTAGGTCATATGTCTTTTAAGGGATGTGCACTTCATCCTTTTTCCAATTTGTAATTACTTTTTTGTTTATTATTTATTTGTAATTTTTTGGACCAACTAATATACAAAACATTCTGATGCAGTACGTCTAGGATCATATTCTAACTCTATTATTACTCTATTGTGCTCTTATTGATATAATATTTCCATTATATGCATGTTTATTGTATAGTTATTGCTACTATATCGCCAATGAACTAGACACGGATAAATTGTATACGCACAAATACAAAAAGAGGCATCATCATTCCATAAAATCCAATTTCCAAACTTACATAATATAGCAACAACCCACCCCATCGTTACATAATACAAAAAGATTGATAGTTCAATTTCCATGCTGTTGACAAATTCGAAGTTACATACTCTTCAAGTGCGGCGACCGCGACCCATGAAATTCATGACCCCGGCCACAGTGATGTTGCCCCAATTTCCTGTCGGATCCACTATTTTTGCAAACTTACGAAATAGTTCGAATCCGCTTTCCACTTGTTGTTGCTTCAACTTGGCCATTTCTTCTGATTCCTTGAATACCATACTTTCAGTGGTAGGGGCAATTTCAATTTTTCCTTTCATTGCCTTTATATGTAGGAGATGTATGCGGGCATGATAACGAGAGCGAATTGTGCGCTTTTTTATGACACCCCGTCTAGCTTGGCCCTCCACAATTTTTGAAACTATGTCTGCATGGAGATTTTTCCAAAACATGGTATTGCCTCGACATTACTGCATGCCATGGACCAAGTTTGCAGTGAGTGAATTGGGTGACTTGGCTTCTGTTTTAGTCTCCCTTCCTTCAGTAATTGAAAGCGTTGGGTTTGGTGTGAGGTTATGGTCCATGGTCTTCGATATTTATTGTAGGCTGGTGTAGGACTTAATTGGAAACAAGGGGGACTAAATGCGATGTGAGTGAAATCAATGGAGAACGTGATGGCTGCAAGTAGGAGTTAATGTGATGAAAGTTTTCATTTCAAACAGCTGGGTTGATTAATATAGGCAGGTTTTAATGACCTGGAGTAACTGAGAGAGTTATTGGCAGGAGGGATTAGGGGAAGTAATTGGCGGGAGAGATTGGCGGGGGTCTTGGGCGGGATGGTATTGGGCGGGAGTTATTACCTAGTTGACTGTATGCCTTTTTGTAATATATTTCTAATTTGGATGTTCTGAATTTGGTAATTTTCCCATTATGTAATACAAATAAGGGATTTGCCTATTTGCCTAACACCAACTAATTCAAATTGACCAATATGGTTATTGTCTTATTTTTCATTTCAGCAATCTCAATTCGTTTCCATTTTTCCGTTATTCATATTTTCCTATTTTCCTATTTTCCATGTGTCCTTTTTTTCAATTATCCAATTATTCATTATTTTTGCCTATTTTTTCCTATTTCCTATTTTCCTATTTTGTAATTTCCCAAGTTTCCTTTTGTTCTATTTCCAGTTTTCCAATTTTTCAATGTTCCTATTTTGCCATTATCTAATTTATAAAATTTGCCTACTTTGCGTAATTGAGAAAGTAATTAAAATTGTCCAATATGGTAATTGTCTTATTTCCCATTTCCGCAATTTCAATTTGTTTCCAATTTTTCTATTTTCCATGTGTCCCTGTTTCCTATTTCCAATTAACCAAGTTTCAGTTTTTTTGCAATTTTCCAATTTTTCTATTATTGTAACACCCCGACTCCAAATTATTCCCTATTTTAATTTAATTAAGTGAATTTACGGAATTGCCCTTAAAGTGAGGGTAATTTGGTCATTTTCTCATCCGAAACGATTTTGGGACCACGAGTGGTTTGGTTGCATAGGTGGTTCCAAGATGACTTCGTAGACAGGCGGTAGGCTTGAATCGGAGTTATAACGAAGTTTTGGCGATCAAATTATTTTCGGTGGCAAAACTGTAAATTATTCGAAAAGGGAATTGGTAAAAATCATATTTTTCAATTTCACCTCAACTTCTCTCTCTCTCTCTCTCTCTCCCGTGTGTCTTCTCTCTCTCCCGCGAACTCTCTCCCCCATCACTGTTCACCCGAACGGAAACAGCCACCCCGTCGCCACATCCGACCACCCCAGCCTTCAAGACCGGTCCCGTTCGAATCGTAGTGAAGCCCCGATCCTGAACCACCCGAAATCCCGACCGGAAAGCTCGAGAACCGTCGGCAGTTTTTGCTGGTTTAAACCGTACAAATTTTGACTTTGCTCCGCCATCTCCACCGGCCATTTCAGGTAAAATTGGTGGGGTTTCTCTCTCTTTTTACGTGTTCTAGCTGGTTGTTGCGGAGGACTTGTTCAATTTGCTGTTTAGAATCCGATTTGAGAAGCTAGGTTTTGGCCAGTTTTCAATTCGAAATTCCGGCCAGTTCCCATCTGATTTGGGCTTGGCCGTAGTTGAAAAAGATGCTCCACTCGTCGAGAAGAAGCTAGGGTACGAAGGGTGAGCGTTTGTGTGGAGATTTTCCGTTGCCGGAAATTACTCTGCACACCCAAGCACTGCCGGCGCCTGTGGTGGTGACAAAGGTGGTGGAGCTGCTAAATGTCCTGATGAGATCCTTAGGATGTCACGAGCGCGTAGGATTTCATAGATCTCGATTCGAAGGTCGTTTGACTATCGAACGGATTTTCGCATATTGTGCGTTATCCTGGTTTTGAAGCTTAAGGCAACACATTCAAGGTCAACAGTCACAGGCTGAAACCCTACGTGGACACACCCTTTGACACTGCAAACGAGTCTTTGACTCTGAAGGAACCAGTGATTTGACCACCAGGCTTCTGTATTTTACGATAACCGTCTGATTGTGCGATCGTAAGCGATTTAACCATCCGTTTCAGACCAAACTTGCAGGACGTGCATCCTAGACCTTGTAAAACCTTTAGGAACTCCCGGATTGAAAACAGAGGTCATGGGTCCCTTGGGCCCGGTTGACTCGATTTGAGAAGTTTGACCGGCCGGTTGACCGAATGTCTCCCAAGGCTTTTCCATCATTCGGTTTGGGTAGTTGGACCTTAGAACGTCTCTTTCCGCGTACACTCACTAGAAACCCGAGAAACTAGGTTTTTAATTCAAAATTTTGTTTCGAAGCGCTTGATGTTAATCGTATGTTCGTATTCTGAAATAGATACTCCGACCACGCATACGCAGCAGGCGGGACCCTCTCAAGGTCAAGCAGTGTGGGACTACTTGTGAGTTGACTTTGTTTTTAATTAATATGCATGATTTTGTGATGGGAAAATTTATGCATAATGTTTATTGGTATATTTGGATATATTATTTCTTCAATGGTGGAAATCAATATTTTTATGAAGTATTGGCATTTTGGGTTTTGATATATTTGAAATGAGTTTGTGGAAAGGGTTGAGTATTGAAATATCTGTTTAGAGTGCTTAAAGTACTACCCTATATACCTCCCCGAATTTGGAACTTGGTTACTGATACTTGAGATACTTAGAATTGTCGGAACCCGGGACATCCTTGATGGGATGTTGCTGCAGACCCTAGTTTTGGGATAGTCTGCGCGCGTAGGATTGTTTTTCAGGCGTACAAGCTTTGAGTATCTCGGCTGTACGTGCTGGCTGAGAGTTAGTCCCCCAGTTGGACGGCTTGTTCCCTAATCACATGGTGAATTGAGGAATGGCTCTGTCATCTGGACTAGTCAAACAATTCCCCGGTTGGATTGTTTTCCCGGTACAACTAAATGTTGGTTATATTTATATATATATATTTTTTATTATTGTTATATTATATGTGATTATAAATGTTGGTTATATTTATATATATACACATGAACATTCATTCGTTTTTGTTTCTCGGAAAGGATACTTCCTCGCCGGTCGTGCCAGTGGGTACGTTTTCGAGAGTTTAATCTTTCGGGACTTTTAAGTTTTGAATGGTGGGTTTGTGAAGTGTTCACGGATTTTGGACTTGGTATCCCGTATTTATTTTAGTATATGTTTATATACTTGCTTATGACGATTTTAAGATGCATTTGGAATTCTTGCATGATTTTCTAACGGTGGGGTTATATTACGTTGATTTATTTGAACTGAACTTTATTTTTTTTGTCTACTCACAATTTTCTGTTTTGCACCCCCAGCCAGTAGTGACTGAGCTCTGCAATCGAGCCGGATCGGGTGCTTCCGAACCTTGAGTCTTTGTAGGGACTCCTTCATCTTTCTTTTCTAGTGGAACTCTGTTTCTGTTGTATTTGATTTTCTTAGATATGCTCTGTATCGCCCGCTTAGGGTTTGAATTGTGAGGCCGGAGGCCTTTGTTGTAAACTTTTTAACTGCGTGTAAAGCATGTTGCTGGTTGGGTTTATTAACTGTAAATTTTGAGCATGTTGAAGTTTGAGATGTTCAATTTACAGGGGAGACTCTGTCAAATTTTTTTGGTAGAAAGTCTCGGTCTTTAGTAAGTGGGCCCAGCATCGGGGTGATGTCGGTAATTAGGCGGGGTCCGTCTCGATTTCCGAGGAAATTCGGGGCGGTTCCTGTCAATTATCCAATTTTCTTTTTTCCAATTGGCCTATTTTCTAAGTTTCCTTTTTTTCCTTTTTTCAATTTTCCAATTTTCCAATTTGCTAATTTTCCTTTTGTTATATTTCCAATTTTGCTATTTTCCAAGTTGGCTTATTTCCTATTTTTCAATTATCCAGTTATCCAACAGTCCAATTTTCCAATTTTCCAATTTTCAATTTTCCAATTTACGAATTTGCTTATTTTCCAAGTGTCAATTTTTCCTATTTCCTATATCGAATTTTCCATTTTTCCATTTTTCCTGTTTTCAGAGTTTCCTTTTTTTCCTATTTCTTATTTTCCGAGTTTCCTTTTGTTCATTTTCCAATTTTCCAATTTTCCAATTACCCAAATTTTCAATTTCCAATTTTCCAAGTTGCCTAATTTTCCAATTATCCAAATATCCAAATTCCCAAATTCCCAATTTTGCCAAGCGTACTTTTTTTTTTCTTTCCTATTTCCTATTTTCCAAGTGTCCCTTTATCCTATTTCCTAATTTCCTCTTTCCAATTTTGCAATTTTCCATTTTTCCAAATTTCCAAGTTTCCATTTTTTCGTATTTCCGATTTTCCAATTTTCCTTTTGTTCTATTTCCAATTTTCCAATTTTCCTTATTTCCTATTTTCTAATTTCCCCTTGAGGTTTGCTGTAAATTCGTTTGTAAGCCAATTTTATTGTTGTTAATGTAATGCTCTACTGCTGTAAATTATAGCCAAGGAGTAAGTGCTGTAGTTTGCAATCCTGTCAATTGAATGACCAACTAAATACCCAATAAAGGCTTCATATACGTTCCTACATATAACTTCAGCTTTCTATATGTAAGTGCAGCATAGCCACTGATGAGTCGATTTTATATTATATATTTAACCTCAGTCTTAGTATATTTTGGTTAATATTTTGGAAGAATTTTGATACTTTGAATTATATTTCCAATATAGGACTTTCGACTTCTTCTGGAGCAAAACATAATCAAATGGACGAATTTTGGAGTAATTCCAGTTGGAGGACGTTCGTGAGCCACTTAGCTTGATCGTATAAAAATATCAGACTTTTCCACCAAGCGATGATTTCCTGGCGAATAAATGAATGAGCGATGTGCAGTGCTGGAATAGTAACGTTTTGGGCTTGTATTGCGTTTTTGGAGCCCAAGATGACCTCGAATGGGTTCATGGCCTTCTGGAGAAGTGTTCGGAATATTTTTATCTTTAAAACGAGCTATCTTGGGCCAGATTTGGAGGAGATTTGAGGCCAAAACGTGGTTGACCAGATTATTGGCAGATTCTCCTAATCCCATTTGGACTTTATTTCCTAGTCTTATTTTATTTCAACTTAGTTTCCTTGTGGGGATTGGGTAGCTAGGTTTTAGGAGGTATTTAAGCTCCTTTTCTCACAGAAATTTAGGACTCCCTTTTTATTTCTTTTTGGTTTTTGGAGAAATTGCTAGGGTTTTGGATTTTCGCGACTTTCAGGTGTTTTCATTCTTATTCTTCTTAATGATATTTTCTTGGATTTCAATTGTGAACATGCGTAACTAACTCTCTTTTGCTAGGGTGAGGCCACGAGCCTTAGCAAGAATATGTAGTTTCTGTCCAATTTGCTTATGATTATATGCATGCAGGTTTTCGAATTATTCATCACTGGGTTAAACTATCTAAGTGTCTTGATGCTTGATCACCATTAGGATGTTTAGAAAAGTAATTTGATGCAGTTTTGGTCGGAGGTCGGTCCCTGAAATTGACGAAGGCTTCTTGTGATTAATATGTGCAAGTTCACTTAGGATGAATACCACGTCTTAAGGGTTGCATGGTTTTTCAAAAGGTTTCACAGAACTTAATGAGTCATGTATGTTTAGATTTGATCTGAATACCACAGACGGATTGCATGTGTGACGGCGGAACTATATAGAATTGTTAAGGTGACGGCGGATCCCTAGTGCTTTCTTAATTTGATTTCTAAAAACACAACTGTTTCTCTTGCTCTTAGCTTTAATTTTGCATATTGCCTTATTTTTATTAGTTAAATTCCTTTTAATTTAAGGTCTTCAAATCAAACATCTCAACTTTCTCTTGCCACCTTCTTAACGGGAAAGGTAAGTACTGTTTCTCAAAGGCAAACATTCTCCACTACAATAGGCATATTGTTGTTTACAACTGGAGACTGAATGTACCTTTCTCTGTTTTGTTGCAATCGGCAGCTGTGAATTGTCCCCTACAATACTTAAAGATGTCTGATGTAGGCCCTCCAAACGACCATGTCAGTTACCCGGGGGACCAGCCGTGGCATGTGCCATTCCCATCTCCACATCTGACTCCCAATCACGATCCCACTTCATCTGGAAGTGAGGCTGAGAGCAATGATCCGCTTGACAAAATCTCAGCCGTCAAGCACGACCTCCAATATTTGTCTAAGGCAACAGATTGGTGGGAGACTAAATGTGATATTCATGGCCAAGTTACGGGAAACCTGGCCAACAAGTTGAACAAAGCATATGCTGGAGAAGTGAAGCAAACTCTAAAAGCAAAAAGTCGGAGCAAAGAGTTAGAGTCCCTGAAATTAAAATTGGAAGAGACAAAGAAAGATGCCGTCGAAAAATTCACACAATCTGAAGAATATAACCATGAAATGGTTGAATGTTTCAACAACGGCTTCGAAATCTTCCAAGATTATGCTTCAGTCATCTCACCAGACTACAATTGGAGTGACATTGATGTAGCTGGTGTTTGAGAGGTGCTCAATATGGGTGCAGAGGGAATGGCTCATCATAGCCTCGTGCATGCAGCGAGGAGGAAGGACAAAGACATGGATCTTTTGATGGACCTCTAGTAAGGGTGAGTGCTGCTTCAGTTCATCTCACCCGAGTACATGGATCTTTTGTTGCCTTCCTTTTCCCTTCACGGGATAGTATTGTTGCAGTTCGGTGGTGATTTATTTTGCATGTGTGAAATATAGTCTGTAATGGATATGTGTTTATTGTATGTAGATTAACGTAATATTGTCGTTCTATTGTATGCCTATTGCCTTACTATTGCCTTTGTATTGTATAGATAGTGTATGCATATCGCCACCCTATAGCATGTATATTGTAATAATAGTGATATCGTATTGTGGTTATATTGCTCTAATATTGCCTCTATAGTGATGTATATTGGCCAACTATTGCTATTATATCGTATGTCAATTGCCATTTGGTATAATACCAGTCTCCACTATCGTTGACCTTTCAAATGATAGTTAGAGTTGCACATCGATTCATATTCAAAAGGAAAGTAATTCTCTCCCTCAATGAATCTTCGTTTAAAAGAAGGCAGCTATCAAATATTGGGTTCAAAAATTCAAGATCCACGGTAAATTAATTGGGCACAAACCACATATTACAAAACAAGGATGATTTTTGGCATGCTTGAAAAGAGAAGGGCCAAATACAACAGAAAAGAAAATCCATTCAAGCTTCTCACTAAACATGGCTCAAGCACTCGACCATGGTTTCAATCCAAACCTACCCAACAAGGGCATACCACGTGTCCATCGTAATAGAAGAGTGGCAATTCCAAAGCATGAATTGCAATATGTTGCTTTTTTTCCTAAACAAAATTGTTACTAAAATGGAACAAAAGATCCCTAACCTGCAATACAAACACAAATAGTCAATTGTCATACACACAAAACAATGCAGGCAGCATCTGCAGCATACTTGAGAGCAAAGAACCTGCAATAAACAACCCAAGAAAAAAGATTGATACCTATATCTCATACGAAACAACTTCCTGGCCAACTGAAACATATGGATTTCAATAAATTAATGAACCAGAACTATCTAAAGTTCATTAAATACCCAAAATGTTTGAAGTCGAGATGTTTCCAAGTTACTATTTATCAGTTATCCAAAGAAATCCTCACTTATTCCCGAATGCTATAATTCATAAAAATCTTAAATGCAAAAAGAGTGCAAAAATTGCGGCAGAAACTGCAGAACGTGTTTATGTGGTAAAAATCTTAAATGCAAACCATCAATACTATTTGTAAAACAAATAAAAAATAAAAAGGTTGGCATTGTGACTCTGTTATCCTCTTGAAACCAACCATTGACTGAAAAAGAAAGATAAGAAACTTTTCGTAGTGGATATGTGGCTTACCAGTTCATCTAGGATTTCGATCTTCTGCAATATTCCAACAAGAGAGGAAATAATCAGAACGGAAGAATTCTAATAACCCAAATCAGTAAGTTATCAGCAAATCATTGGCAAACCTTTTTTCTGGCTTTATTGTACCGACTTATGATCTCACTTGGGTGCAGGCCCATCCTTATAAGCTCCTCTGCGTTTTGCAGGAACTCCCAGCAAAAGAAATCCGTGCTTTAATTGATTTGGGTGCAAGTATTAATTTAATGTCTTTTTCTGTTTTTCAGAGACTAGGACACGGAGAAATCAAGCCTACATCAGTTATTCTACAACTGGCGGACCGTGAAAAGTAGAATTGCTGCAGAAATTATTTAAACGGAACTAAGTCAAAACTAAATTGAGAAATCTTAAGAAAGCTGTATGCTTCACTAAGTCCACTAACAGATTCCTAGTGCAGGAAAAGAAATATACCTATATCACATAAATTGCAAACAAAACCACAGAGACAAAATGTGAACAATGGCTACAAAAATGACCAGAAATTGCAAACTGTTATACCATGTAAGGCAAGCGTCCATAAAGAGCAACTATATTTATATATGAAGGTGTACAAAATAGTTAACCTTCAAAATTGAAACAGTGTGTGTGCCATGTAAGGCAATTAGCCACTGCTTCTAGACTGTACAATATGACACCTCACAATATACATCAGACCCGAAGACTCGGGAAATGATTTCACCTTGGAACACATAATAACTAAACCAACTAGCTCTAGCAAAAAGGATTTTCCAGCAAAGCATTTACGTCTGCATCTTCTACAAAATGAGTTCCTGACATAATTAATTAGCACAGTGAATTCCCAAGTCATAAGTCCAGACTGAACTCAATTCACAAACATTAAGACATTTACCTCATAAATATGCCTCTCCCTTTAAACCCTCTATTGCAAGCTTCAGTCGGTAATATTTGATCTTCAAAGGGTCAACTTGATCCAACGAAATCCCAGCACTGAGAAGCTCGATATATTTTACGGTCATGATTCCGCAAGACGTACTGTCATGCCAATAAGTTGGGAAATTAGAACTGCAGTTATGTAAAATATCGATAAACTGCACTAAATTCACAAAGCTTACCCATCTCATTGTTGTGGCACATCTCTAACGCTGCAAACTGAGAAT